ATTAAACGAAATGTCCCAAATTTTCATAATATTTGGGTATTTTAATTCTTTAATTTTTCTATAACTACGAAATGCGATTAATTATAAAAAAATATTCCTATACTTCTTTAATCTATAAGCCATATGCTAATTAAATGTCATATTTATAACTCTTTTAGAACATAAAATTATTTTCATTATTTTTGGTATAAACTATTACGCAGTTAATTAAAAAACTTCTAGAGAGTTCTACGATAAGACGCGCTGTGATTGGTCGATTTTTTTTAATATAATAAAAGTTGTTTACATTACTTGTTATCAAAACGACATTCTATACAAATATACTAAGAGTTATAAATATGTTAAACAACTATATTAATACACGTTTTCACTCAGTTTTCTTGGTAATTTCACTATTAATACAAAAAACAATATTCTTTATCACTTTGTTTCTTAAGGTTGTTAGGCCGTCGCGAACAGAATGTAAGCAATTCGGATCAAGTAAAAATACAAACTCGTTGGCTTTCACCTTTGGCTCCGTGGCGGAGTGACTTGGTAATGAGTTGTAGCGCTAAGCGCCGCGGGTTCGAATCCCACATGGAACAAAAATTTGTATTACCTACAAATAATTGTTCCAAGTCTGGATGTTTGTCCTTGTGAAATTAATGTATTTAAACTGCCCCCACGATGTACTTAGGAAAAATTCCTAGTGTGGAGATAACGTTATGATTAAACAAAGACATGCCATCAAAAACATAACTTGTAAAATAACCAAGTCTCGCAATGATGATACGGCCGTGCCGCTGTTTTGCTCGACTTGGCGAGGGCACTACCGTGCCCCCAGATATAAAACATATGAGCCGTGCTTGAGTTGAGTAGCTCAAGGGCGTAGTGCTCGCCGTAAACGCGAACAATCCGGGCTCGATCCCCACTAGTGTTGCCAGGTGTCCCGATTTGCGCGGGACGTCCCGATTTTCAAGGGTCTAGTAACACGTCCCGATTCACCCTTGATCGGGACGCCAAATGTCCCGATTTTCACTAACCTTCTTATTTTATACTTTAATCCATAATTTTGACAGCAAAAATGATTACATCTGTTAGCTACTACCACATTAAAATATTTTTACTACGACATTGTCTCACCAGTCGAAATAAAACCACAGAAGTTTTAAACAGAATTATATTAAAATGAGTTATTTGAAAAATTCAGGGACTGCAAAAAAAAAACAAATAGTTCAAAAATGTTTTAATTTGCCTAAAATGAAAAAAATTCAGTTTTACGATGTTTGGATGAAAAGTTATTCGTTTATGAGATCAGACCCGAATAATAATTATAAAGCACAAATGTAAAGTAAAGTTACAGTCACAATTTCTCGCATTACTCGCATACTGTGATATTTACAGTGAGCGTTGACCATCTGAGCTACCACGGCTCTCAATAAAGCACAAAAGGCTACAAAGAAACCTATATTTTGTAGTCATTGTAGTTGTCCGGATATGAAAACTAAATCCCCGATTATTTTTACCTTCCGTCCCGAAATTTTACTTGCTAGACCTGGCAACACTAATCCCCGCCGATACTAATGAAATTGTTAGTTTGATGAATTATGTTTAGATTATGAAACAGAATAAAAGTTTATCAAATTATATATATTTTATACAATACATATTTTTCAATTAGAACATATATTATAATATACTTAATAGGGTGAAAATGTAAAGCCGACTTCAATTTACAAAAAGAATAAAACAATTTCCACATATTAGCCTGCGATTACTATACACTATATAAGCCATTATATGGAAATTATTTTTTTATTATTTTAGTTCCAATAATATCAAAGACAGGTATATAATCAAAGATCAAAGTGATTCTAAAGGCAACTATTATAGCCTCACGCTCGCCCTGACACGCACACAGAGAAAACATTGTAGTGTGCATTGAGTTATACAACACTAGAGGAGCAAGCCACATTACCGCGCGTCGAAAAAAGTGTAACCACTATCCAAACGCGACGACGTAGCTTTGAAACTAATAACAATTTTAAATAAACATATATCTATCTCACTTACACAAGTTGCGAAAACAATATCGTCGCTAAGATTAGATAAAGATAGACACACAAACGTGCAATGGCGGGTTGGTGTGGCTTACTATATGAAATTTTACCTAAAATACGCAATAAAAATGAGTTTTTTTAAGCTGCAGTTAATTGTTTTTATATTGAAAAAGTATATTTTATTTTATAATCTTTGTTGCGTCCCCTTAGAAAAAAAAAGGATACAAAGCTTATCAGATAAATAGAAGTAAACATAATGATGAAATAAAACATATTTTTATAAGTATTTTTATTGTACTAATAAATCAAACAATATAAAAGAGGTAATAAAATGTAATTAATATAAAATTTATATGAAATTATAACTAATATATAATTATTAATATAAAATAAGTAGGTCATAAAATATATTTAATAGATAATTCATAAATAAACTAAAATAAGAATAATTAATTACTTTGTATGAAAGTTAAAACGTGGTTTTTATTATAATTTCCAAAATATTTAAAATCAGAGGTAACAAATTAACTTACTCCATTAATTATATAGTCTCCCATTAATGTAGGATAATCACAAATGCGGAAAAGTGGCAACATTGAACCTAAATGGCAATATTCGATAATTTTATTTAATTATTTGAGGTTTTTTACGTTTATATGAAAACAAGAACTAAAAATTATGTGTTGAAAGTGATTCCGCTTGTTTTGTTACGTTTGTGTGACCTTGAATAGCATTCTTTCACTTCGCATTTACCCATTTTTTGTCGCGGCTCAACTCTGTCGGCGTCACATTGAACACTGAACTGACGTTAGCTAGGCATATGGCTGTGGCCATATGTGCAGTGGCAACGCTTTGGCGCGGTTATTACTGATCTAGTGTAATATATAAATCAATGGTAGTGTGCGTCAATATTACGCCGTTCCAAAGCGATCGCGTAGATTTCGACTTGGACATATTTGAATATGCGCTCTTAAATCTAAACCAAAATATATATTATGATACCATAGCAAAGCTACTACTATTTTATTTAGTAGTAGCTTATATAGTAAGTATAGTAAATTATATATAAAAAATATGAGTATGTTACTGTCTGAGGTAAGGTTAAATATAAACAAATATTTGCCAAGTGCGAATCGGACTTCCGAGCTTCCGAGATTACAAGATTTAAATACCTATACATAATACTATCGATCAAAAAAGCCAAAAATACACGTTTCTTTTTCTAGTAGAAAATCCTTTAATTTCAAATTTATTTTTACCACTTGCTGTTATAGCGGCAACAGAAATACACGTTCTGTGAAAATTACAACCATCTACCTATTACGGATCATGAGATGCAGCCCACTGACAGACAGACACACGGACAGCGGAGGCTCCGTAATAGGGCCCTGCTGGTTACCCTTCGGGTACGGAATCCTAAAAACTACTAAGTTGTCCACTCACATCTGTATGATTCTTTCTTCAAAGGACCATATTAGCCTGGTTCTCGTATGACATGACCAATGTAATACCTGGACTGACCTCTCTGAGTTTATTTCGGCAGATCGGGTGCTTCTTCTCAGTTTCATGTTTTTGTTGTGTTAAAGTGTTTTTAAAAAAAAACAACTTACAAAACACCTTTTATTTATCATTGACTACCCTTCTTATATTATTATGTACTTACATAAATTACATTAGGTATATTAGGATATAAGATTCCTATACGTAAGCACGATTATCGAAAATCTAAAAATTACCTATCCAATTAAATTAATAGATAATTTTAAGATTTTCGACAATCGTGCTTATCAATGAGATGTTTTCGTTAGTTGGCAAATTAAAGTAGATAAGTACCTAATGTACTATCTGTATCGAAAGTTCATTATTATGTACCTACCTGTTTTCAATTTTAACTACATGTGCTTCAACAAACTTATGGGTACATTTTACCAGCTATATTCATTCCGACTTCAGCAAGTGGACACGAACAAAAGGAAACAATTTTTCTAAATAAAGATGTAGATATGTAGGTATTACAACCATAAATAGATAGCAGCGGCTAACCTAGTGAGCATGTGTGGGTGCGCGCTGCGCCCCCCCCTCCGTCCGTCCCACTGATCGGGGAAATAATTTGTAACGAAAGGCAAGATGATTTACAACAAAAAGGAACGCGCGAAATTTTATAAACAGACCTTTGGGAGTCTGCATGTCATGGTATTTGCATTTTTGAACAACTAATCTATCCCTGTATGGTAACTGTTTTGCGATTTTCGTTCTTCTTATGGTATTTATTTTCGCCCAAAGATTTGTTAAAAATAGTGTTGAAATTCGGAATTTTCGACGCTTATAATTTTTAAACATAATCTTTTTTTACTTTTTTGTTTCCATACAGGGCTAGATAATGATGAGACAAATTGAAATCATTTTTTATTTTGTACGTGGAAGAACGAGTGACTAGTGTACTCTTAAATACGGATTCTGGTAACACAGTTAACGGGAACCACACGGTTTTTGTTACATGTTGTACAAATTAAGTAACGAACGAACTCACAGTGCACCTGCAGACAAGTGCCCACTGCAAACATGGCCACTAGTTGCCAACTTCAAACAGAGAAGACTAGAGATGCATTGTAACATTTGAGGATTAAGATGGAATGATGTGATTGATTTTATCTTAGTCCTTTATCCTATAATTAAATTATCTCTCTATATCCTTTAGTCCGAAACACAGCAATACAATAAGGCGGCAGAAACGGGTAACATAGTAGTGGGGATTAAAGAACATCCTACCGCGTAGAAATTGTAAGAAAAAGTTGCAAGGAATTCACAAGTAGGTATACTTTATCTCTCAACAGTAACAATTTAACCTACAAATTGTACACAACTCGAATTGTCTAACGAAGTACACTATGTCCACGCATCCTTATATTTTGTGACATTCCTATATCATAGATTGTATGAGCATCGCAAGGGTACACAAACCTCACGTCATCGTACGGAGTTAGCGGACCGGTTGGTGAGATTATCAAACGATTGCCCGCCACCAAAGGGCACTGTACTAATGACACCTCCTGTGTAAAAAATACATCAATTAGTCGACATAAGACAGAGTATTGACTCAAAGTCAAAGTTACTTTATTGAGTTTAGGTACAGAATAAATCATAATACTAACGTAATTTAAGTTAGTTAAAGATCAGTCTTATGAATGTTAAATTTACTAACGGTATAAAACATAGAATACTATAATACATACATAATAGAACGGGGGAGTGGGCGGAGCCCGTGTAGCCACTAAAATGTCACTAACATGCCAATTCACACGTATAAATGTCAACACAATATGTTTTTGACGTACAATCTTTTTCAAATTTGCATGCAAATTATTTAGAAAATACCAAATTTCACACTATTTACATTTAAATATGTATTAAAATTTAAACGATTTTTAATGATGATTTTGAACATTAATCAAAAGTCTAAAATGTGTACATTTAATCAGTCTGTCAAAACAGCGAGTCGGGTTTTATAGTAGTGATAATACAACATAATTGCTTTTATGTGTGCTACCGGCGACGCCGAATCTCGTACAAAATAAGTTTGATAGCCATTCTCTTGTGTATTATAGTATTTTATGGTATTAAAAGTAAGACCTTTACAGTCACCATGTGGCTGTCAGAATATTCACTACCCCACATCGTCTAGTGGGTATGGTAAAAGGTTAACCGGGAGATAAGCAGCAGCGTTCTCATGACCATACTTCTCTTTGTGATAGACTTCGTTAACGAGGATGTGGTCAGTAGAACCTGAGTAACTAGCATAGCTCAACAGATCAGTAAGCTGAAGTAGTAATGTGACGACCAGATATCTCGAAGAACGAGAAGAAAAATTGTCGAGCAGACTCGTGTCTGTAAGCAAAAGGCAGCCACCACTTGATGGTGTGACGACTTGGTAAGAGATGCAGGAAGAAGGAGGCAGGTGACTCAAGATTACGCTTTGTAGCATTTCTAGGGCTCTCTCTATGTTCAACAGAGGACTTAGGATATGTATGCTATAGAGAAGAATCAGCAAAAAAAATTTTACACATTGTTTGTCCCCTTTATTTACATTTTTTAATTATAATATTATATTATTTATGCGTAAAAGAATTCACTAACTCATATCATCTTGTGGGTGTAATAAGTAATAAAAAAATTTATTACTTAAAATATTAATTTATTGGATGATAAGTTACAGCCTTAAACTATTTTGCCCATGGCAAGTGTTCAACGTAATTTGGTCATCGATAAACAGATTGCGTTGTGTGGCGATTATGTCGCAATATTTTGCGTCATCGATGACAGATGGCGTTGTACGGTGATTGTACCGCGCTATGGTTTGACCAACCTTAGTTGCTTAAAGGCTGTAAGTTGTTAAAAAATTGTTTCTATTTCGTAACTTGTTCGACTACCTGCTTTCGATTTCGATTGTTTGTTATTTGCTTTGTGATTTGGTTAAGGTTGAATGGATTTATATTGGCTTTCATTTTCGGAATTGTGTATTTTCTTGGATCGGTTTTGTTGATTTGGTTGGTATTCCTTTATACGTATTTAGACTCTGGCTTTGATTTTGGATTTTGTTTATTTAGAATCGTGAATTGGTTTTCGTTGTTTTAGGTTGTTTAACAATATTTCAAAGGAATATTAATAGTATAGATAGTGTATACGGTACTTATACACTTACTTCTTTTTTCGTTGGTTATATATGTATTGACTACTGCTTTCGATTTCGGTTTTCTGCGATTTGGTTTTGTGATTTGGTTTAAGTTGATTCGATTTTTTTTGGCTATCGTTTTCGGATTCGTGTTGTGTCTTGAATTGGTTTTGTTGTTTTGATTTTAAAAATATTTGAAAGGAATATTTATTCCTTTTAGATATTTTGGATTTGCTTTTAAAAAAAATATTTAAAAGGAAATTTAATTCCTTTTAGGTATTTTAACGTTTTTTTATAAACAGGTTTTTTGTTACTTCATAATGCCTCGCAAACGTAAGTCCAGCCTTTCAAGAGTATCTTCTCAAAGACAAGCGAAAAGATTAGCTCGATCGCTAGAATCTTTAGAAGATGCTGACCTGAGAAGGCAAGAACAAGCAGAGCGTCAGGCTGCTTTTAGAGCATCTGAGACATCTTCTCAACGTCAGCAAAGGCGTCTTGAACAGACAGAGCGTCAGGCTGCTTTAAGAGCTTCCGAAACACCTTCTCAAAGTCAGGAAAGGCGTCTTGAACAGGCAGAGCGTCAAACTACTTTAAGAGCTTCTGAAACACCTCAAAGTCAGCGAAGGCGTCTTGAACAGGCAGAGCGTCAAGCTACTTTAAAAGCTACTGAAACACCTGATCAAAGTCAGCAAAGGCGTCTTGAACGGGCAGAGCGTCAATATACTTTAAGAGCTACTGAAACACCTGCTCAAAGTCAGCAAAGGCTATTCGAACAAGCGGAACATCAGGCCGCCTTAAGAGCCGCGGAAACACCTGATGAAACTCAACACAGACTCATTGAGCAAGCTGAACGTCAATCTACTATAAGGGCATCTGAAACACCAGAACAGACACAGGCGCGAAGAGATGCAAATGCAGCTCCAAGCCGAACGTCGACAAAATTTTCAAAGAAACAATTGGTCGGTTTTTAATGACGCAGCATTCAATTATGATCCGTTGATTGATTATAAAAATCACAGGTTAGTTGTTATCGGACTGATGGACAAGGCATGTCGATTTTGCAGCGCTTTAAAATGGAAAGATGAGACCGCAGGCATGTGCTGTTCCAATGGCAAAGTGTCTCTTCTTAGTTACTTGGGGAAACAGAAGAACCTTTGAAAACTCTCTTTTTATATGATGCTAATGAGTCACGGCGCTTTTTAAACAGGATCCGGAAATATAACTCATGCTTTCAAATGACTTCCTTCGGAGTTGACCGCGAAATAATAATGCCGGAATTTTCGCCTACATTTATATAGAATAGGTGAACTTTTTCCAGCTGAAAACGAACAGCATAAATTTTTACAACTTGTAAAAATTTATGATGTATTTTATGGGTGACGAAGAAATTGACGTAGACCGTCGCTGCCAATTTATCCAGGGAGTTGAGAGACACAGTGTTCAAAATTCAAATATTCTTGCATGAACGTAACATTTTAGTCAAAACATTTAAAGCTGCTTTAGAAAACCTACCTGAAGAGGATTATAAAGTCGTCATTCACGCAGATCAGACCCCTCGAGGAGAGCATGAAAGGCGCTACAATGCACCTTTGATAAACGAAATAGCAGCCGTAATTAGTGGTGATCAATTTTCTTCACGAGACATTGTTTTGCGAGCACGTGATGATACGTTGCAACGGGTAGCCGATACACACAAGTTTTATGACGCTCTGCAATACCCATTGATTTATTGCAAAGGACAAGAGGGTTATCATTTTCAAATTCTACTCAATAATCCGGTCACAAAGGAGCCTACTCCGAACAAACAAGTATCATGTATGGATTTTTATGCGTATCATATGATGTTGCGAGAAAATGATTTTAACCTCTTAGCCCGGTGTAGACAATTATTTCATCATTTTTTTGTAGACATGTATGTGAAGGTAGAAAGTGAACGTCTCCGTTATATATCTTTAAATCAAAAAAAAAGCTGCGCGTTGAGAATTATATACATTTACAAGATGCAGTTTCTAGCGACGCCAATGTAAACCCCAGAGATTTAGGTAAAATGGTAATTCTGCCCTCATCATTCGTTAACAGTACCCGCTACCTACATGAGTACACACAAGACGCATTCGCCTATTTACGAACTTACGGAAGACCTGATCTTTTTGTTACTTTTACTTGCAATCCCACATGGAAAGAAATAACCGAGGAGCTAATGCCGTGCCAAAAAAGTACTGACAGACACGAAAAAAGAGGATTACCGCATGCCCACATTCTAATATGGCTTAAAGAGAAGTTACGGCCCAGCCAAATAGACGACATAATAAGCGCCGAGATTCCGGATCCTGAGCAAGATAAAGAATTGTATGATACCATCGTCCGAAATATGATTCATGGTCCATGTGGAGCACGAAATTCAATATCGCCATGTATGAAAGAAGGAAAATGTACAAAGAAATTCCCTAAACAGCTATTAAAAGAAACAGTGCACAATGACAATGGCTACCCTTTATACAGACGCAGAGCTTTGCCGTTTTTACAGGTCACTTCAGGTCAAACTCAGATTATCCAGGATGATTTATTTCGTGTAATATTTGAAGCTATTTATTTTGTATGAAAAATGCACTTTTTTAATTTTTATATTATTGTTTATTTTATCATTTCAACAGACGTATATCAACTTGCAGAATAAAGAACGCAACAATACCTACACTTGCCCATACATAGGGAATTAGGCACGCGTAGGGCGATGCTAATGCGATGTTATCAACAAATCATAAACTTTAAGATATTGATTTATCCAAGTAATCACTCTACTTCTGTAATCACTTAAGTTTAATAACTAAATCAAATCAAATTTAATAATTAAGTGTTATGTAATGCTATAGCCGCGTTTTGGTGGCATTCTCCGTAAATCAAAATCATGTCGGTTTATTCCGACGACGTGAAATCGATACGAGGTATCTTAAAACTTAGAAAAAGTTAAAACGTTAAAAAAGTAAATGTCACAACAATTCACTAAGTTATTAAATATGATTTTTATCTAGCGTATTATTAACGTGTCCCATCACAAACAAAAAAATACAAAACAATAAAAGTAAGCGTCCAATTTCGCATAAAATGTCACCACTTTATCACGACTATTATCATCCTATTAACGTGTCCTATTATAAACAAATCGAGAAACTTATCAGCGAGCAGTCCCTTTTTTGAGTTTTTAATTTGGCGCATCAGAATTAAGTCTTAAATCGTTAGGCTTAAGTACATTTTTTGCTTGATCCTTTTTCTTTATTTGAGTTATTCGGATTGGCAACGTTTGAACTATAATTCGCCTTTGCCGGCCATGGGTCTTTGACTTTTTAGTATTCCTCAGGTGAATGCATTTACATGATGTTGTTTAATATTAAATCGAAAAAAAAAATATTACTGGGCATAGGATGTTAATTGTTACATTTTTTAATTATGTATGTTTAAAGAACGTTATTTAGGATTTAGGTCTTTTCATTTAATTTGATATCTTCATCGTCACTGTGTATAATATCTATATTGTATTCTCGTACCACACCGGATCCGTTGCCTTACTTACGGCCAACAACATCAAACAACAATAACAACAACTTACGGCCTTTAAGCAACTAAGGTTGGTCAAACCATGGCGCGGTACAATCACTGTACAACGCCATCTGTCATCGATGACACAAACTATCGCGACATAATCGCCGCACAACGCCATCTGTTTATCTATGACTAAATTACGTTGAACAGCAAGAAATGGAAAAAATAGTGTGGGGATATGTATCGTCATGGCGGGATACCGTGAGCAGCGCGTGGTCGAGCTCTTGTGCGGCTGCTACGGTAGGGGCGAGCAGCGGCGGCAACGCGGCGCCAGGCAGCGTCACCAGCACGAGCGCGTCGTGCCGCACGCTGTCCGGCGCCGCCTCGCTCACCACCGCCCCGTGCACCTCGTACACGCTCTCCAACTCGTCGGGCTCGCCCGCACCGCTCATACTTTCTCACTCTTTTCTATAATTAAAAACACATCACGATTGTTAGGAATGAGGGTAGATAACGAAAAACGAAAAAGTGAGGGTAGATGAATCTTCCTCTTACTCCTAATTTCGGTCACGGCGACTAGTCAACGGAGACTAGCCATTTGCACAGGACAGGATTATAGTGGCCGAGTGTGTTCACTCTCTATTCCCTCACTCTCATAGTCAGATGGGATGGTAATTCAACACAACCAGATGTACATTATAGTATAATAAATTATCCTGTTTTTGATGTTAGAAATTACTCTTAAAATTTTTAAATAAAAGAATATAACTCAGTATCAACTATATGTTATATCATAAATGAAACAGGCACAAATATATGTATTTATTTATGTGGTAGAGCCAGATTGTAGCTTTACTACGGTTATATAAGAATGGGTCGACTCAACCAGGGGAGAACTCTCTCACAAACACACACTCACAGAGTACCAGTGTAAAATGGAAGCTTAATATTGGTGTGTTTCAGATGTGAGTGTAGAAAATCAAACATACTGCATTTATGCATTTTCTGTTGAGCTCTCATGTGGACAGATATCAGGTCTCTCTCGATGCCCCTCTTGGTTCCTCGGACCATTGTCTGATCCGGAGTACGGTGCCACTAACGCACTCATCGCGGTTGCGTACTGCAGGTTGCCGCCGTGTTTGGATTATAGGTCAGCAGACTGGGATGGGATGCGATCTTTGTTTGCATCCTACACTTGGGGGCGGGTTTGCTTCTCGCCGGATGATCTCAGCGTTGTTGCTGATTCTGTCGCTGATGTGGTGCTACAGGGAATGGAACTTTTTATTCCATCATCTGTAGTACCTGTCAGAGGCAGATCCCAGCCTTGGTTTAGTGGCTCCCGTAAAATTGAACAACGCCATAAGCAGGATTGCTACCAGGCTTGGGCTCGCGCATCGACGTTTCGGGATGCAAATAGCTGGTATTAAGCCCTTAAAAAGGAGTACAATTTCGCCTCCAGGTCCTTCAAAAGTATCATTATCAAGGCAAAGTCAGGCGGAAATTGGCTAGAAACTAGTTCGTCTTCCTTCGGGAATACATGGATTCTGGTCTCTCACCAAGGCTGTCCAAGGGAACTTCTGTCAGCCATCTCTCCCATCTCTGCACAGGAAACTGATCTGCTGGGCTCTATCTTTGTGTCCAACTCGACTCTTGATGACGGGAGGACCACACCACCGACCATCCCGCGGAGTGAGTGCTCTATGCAGGATGTTCTGTTCACCCAATGCTCAGTGCGCAGAGCACTCCTCTTCCTGGACGTCAACAAAGCGAGTGGGCCGGATGACGTACATCCTATTGTGCTGAAGACATGTGCTCCTACTCCTTCGGTGTAGTCCCGAAATCGTGGAAGACAGCCCTCGTGCACCCGATCCCTAAAAAAGGTAACCGCTCTGCTCCGTCCAACTATAGGTCTATCGCCATCACCTCCTTGTTCTCTAAAATAATGGAATCCATTATTAACAGCCAGCTCATGCGGTACATTGAAGATCACCAGCTGATTAATGACCGCCAGTACGGTTTCCGTCACAGTCGCTCGGCTGGTGATCTTCTGGGTTACCTAACTCATAAATGGGCGGAGGCAGTAGAGTCCATGGGGGAGGCGTTGGCCGTTAGTTTGGACATAGCGAAGGCCTTTGATCGGGTTTGGCACAAAGCACTTCTTACGAAGCTTCCTTCCTATGGGCTTCCAGAGAAATTGTGCAATTGGGTCACCAGTTTTCTTGCTGGTCAGAGCATCAAATCCTCATTTGTTAAATAGAGGGTTGCATCGAATGCAGATAGGATTGACCTTTGGAGAAAAAGTTGCTACATCCCCTTACACCCAAAAATTTTGTTTAAATGATCCAATTATTTTAATTATATCATCAAATAATTTTACAAATTTAATTTAAAAAATATACATAATTTAAAAATAAGACTATTATTTTTAGATATGACAGCCTTAGAGTAAGACCAACAAAATAAAATTAAAGGTATAAATTTATAGACTGCAAGAACTATTGGTGCAACATAAATCATTAATTTTTATTATATAATCCATATTGTACCTCATCAGAGTTTCATATTATATCACCAACAGCCCACACCTCCACAATTCTACAGCTGTATATAGACACTTCAAAGACTGCTTAAGCTAGCAAGCATTTGTTTGAAGATTTCAATTAGATTACATAATATCATAGAATGCTGTAATCAAACATTTTAGCCTATTACCTTTTTATTATTAATATTTTATTTTATTTAATATTTATTACTTACCATTTCAGCCATTTTAAAAACATATTTATTTTCTTTCTATGCAAGAAAAACCTCAAATTAAACTATACAGTTTAAGTTGTACTTAGGTCCATATAAATTTGGTTTTGAAAGTGAAGAAACTCCAACAGCTTTGTATTTAAAGAAAAAAAACATTTTAAAAATAAGTATTGAAATGCAAAAAATAATTAACACATGCTTGTCATAGAAGTAATGAATACACAGAAAGTAATATATTATTACTGTTGTACAATCTAATTTGCAGTAAGTACTGCATATGCTTTGTGTACACTAGCATACACTGATAACAGCAGAAACATTTGTGGTAACATTTATGAAATCAAATTGGTCAGAACACACAATTTACATGTTTCAAATTCCATATGTTTAATAAATTATAAGTAGGCTATATAATTAACTTTTAAAGCATATGTATTGCCCTAATACTGTGTAGTACACTCTACGATATAGCCCCCAACTATGGAATGACAACCTTATCCAGATGCAGGAAGTCTATGGATGCAAGTGGTTCAGGAGCCTGCTTTGTAGCATTCCATGCTTAGGCCTATGTTCAGCAGGGGACTTATGATTCGCTGTAATGATGAGGATGAAACCCTATGAAATTGATAAAAGTCCTAATTATTGAAACTATTTATAAGGATTTTATTACATTTAATTAACTTATTTTTAATTCCCGATAATTCGGGTGCTTGGTTGACCCATGGTCACGGGAGGGGGGGGGGGGATTGAAATGTTTGACATCCCAATGTTACCTTCAGTTTTTGAATATTAATTTTTGGTCCGAACTACACAAAACAAGCTTACAGTATCTTGAAGTCTTGCATGAAGGTAGCCGGGCAAACTATGACATTGGGATGTCAAACATCTCTGTCCTCTTGTGATCATGGGAGTTGTAAAGCACTGGAACCACAAGGAATTAATAATAAGTTAAATGCAATAAAATCCATATAAATTGTTTTATTCAATGTGCAGTGTTCTGATAAATATAATAAATCATTAATGTTATAATTAAATTTACTATATATAATTCGTTGTCTTTATCTTTCTAAATAAATCGTTCTATGTGATATTTATATGATTAAGATGAAACTCTGATGATCTGTTGTGTATACATCTGCAAAGATTTCTCACAAAAAGAAAGTACATAAGTATATTTATTTGTTTGTATTCTACGCATTCCTATATTATTCATTCAGGCGACGTGAATAGTTGCATGCCTATCCACCATATGTTTCTAGCAAAAACAAGGTTTAGCAAACGCATGCCTAGCACAGCCGGTCTTTTATTAATATTAGTGGAAGAAGAGAAGTAATTTTCTCATATTTACTTTACATATATAATACTGTCTGCTCGAATTTAAGATATTTCTTTCTACTTACAAAAAAGATATCCTTATCTTTAAAATGTAGTTACCACAAAGCTAATGAAACAACAAAGTAACAGTTCCTTTATCCAGTTGATAGAGTTTTTTTCTGCTTTTTGTAGATAGGTATCAGTAATTAGTATTATAATTTGTGATATCAGATAACAGCTTTGAGTTTGAGCATAGAAATATTTTCTATGCTCAAAGGTTATCAGCTATTATGTCAGCTGTCAGTGCAATTTGGCAGTTTTGGTACGGCTCTGGGTTCTAGGCCTTCTGAGCCTATATTTTTTTCGAATTCTTCGTTTTTATATAATATTTTTTTCTTCACAATATGCTGATACGTCACATTGCGAATTTTTGGGAGATTTGACGACAGCTCAACCCAGCGAACAGTTGATATGTTGATATGAGCTGATAGATTCATAAGGCGCCCAAGCGACCAAAATAACTTGAGTTTTACATCAACACTGTTACGGCTTTCAATTACCCCGGCAAAAGTCGACTGGATTAGGGCCCATAGTAATCCAACTCGACGAGTAACTGAGGGGAGGGCCCAAGTGGCCTATGGATAATTAATTTATAACGGCTAAATACGCAAACACAAAACTTACCGAATTCCAGAAGTAGGGTCGACCACAAGGTGGCGTCAGGGGCAAGTAAATGGTAGTGTGTGTGTAGTGTAGGAAGGTGTCTAATGTAACCTGACGTCACCGATATAGTCAGATAGCAGAACCGCATGTGCTGCCCAGCTTCTCTTGTGCAATCACTCCAGAGGGCGTTAGCCGCTATCGGAACTAAAGTCCAACGTCACTTAGCACAAATATAATCGGAGGGAACGCGATCTACACTCAGATCACAAAGTTTAGCGTTCCACACGAAAGCAAAATTCCTTCGTACAATTTAACTAATTTATTTTAACTTTAATTAACTACACAAGCCACTCGTCGAAGCAAATTAATAGCAATCGATGTTAAAATAGTCAATCAAACCCAAAAAACCTCGTTGTCACGTATATTAACGACAAAATACAACACCATGGAGGCCGTAGTTATTCGAGGCCGTAATTCTTATCAAAACCCACGACCTCTAATCGACACTGTCTTCGCGTAATCGAATGTTCTACGCTAATCTCGCGACCCCCACCGGCGCGGCCTCAGCGCTCAAAGATTCCTGCCGACTGCGCTCTCTGGCAGCGCCGTATGCTCATAGCGAGTGCCTCCCGCGCAACGCAACCAGTTCCCCGCTCAGAACTAGCGCCTTGCAATTCGGTTTGCTACAATCGGGCGTGAACAAACACCAAAGCACTTGTTT